GGACTGGGACAAATGATGGATATGATGGCTCCAGTGGGCTGATGTCTCCCTGAAAATCATCCATGTTTTCAGGGAGGGTAGTGTAGTTCTTGAGACGTTGTTTTGGTTTGGCGTCTGTGCTGCCATGACCTTGTTTTCCATACTGTGACTATGTTGGTTCTTGCGGGCTGTTCTATGTTGGTTTAGCAATGTTTAGCAGCTATGGGTGGGAATTGATTTGGTTTGGACGCGGTTGGTTGGACTTTTGGAAGCTTTGATGGAAGCTTCAAGGGTGCCTTTGTGGGAGCCATGCGAACAAATCCGTTAAAACCCAACTCAGTGACCAAGAAAGTTGGAAGGGGGCACCTAGGTGCTTGATTGTTAGGCTCGGAGCTGAGTCAACCCGGATGTGTTCATTTGACGCCGGGCGCTGGACAAGCCAGTAGAATTTCTGTCGGCATGTGGTCGACGTCAGTGCGCCTGGGGTGCATCAGGTGAGCCTGAGATTGATAGTTGCACAACAAGGTTTTTGACCCCCATGACATGAATGAGGTACTCGAATAAATGGGAAAAAGAACAGCAGCAGCTGTAGAATCACCCAAAGCAATTCAGGCCCAGCTGGAGCCTAAAAGCGGCTCAGGTGTGGATGCATCCTTTTGCTATTTCCTCGTGGAGCGCGACTTCCACACCGGCCAAGCACTCCGCCGCTGGCGCCACGGCGGCCGTTCGAGAAAGGTGGGTGCAGAAAGCCCGGCACTGGCGGCGGCTCCTGCTGCCTGGCACGGAAGATGTACACTGACACTGCATTCAGAGTAGATGGATGTAGATTGTACAAACACCACGATATGTTTTGGATTTTGGGGGGATGGTGGCCATATAAAAAAGAATAAACGTTTTGGGGATTGATTGTGCCATCTACTCTAAAACACTATAGGGAAACTGGCTCCACTACACGTGGTGTATCTTGGTGTTTGATACATTTTTCCCGGTTCCGGTGGCGCCGAGCTCGAACGAGGGCCCAGCACACCGTTGTGCACCCCCGTGACTCCCTGAGGACGGGGCCGAAGAAATGAAGGTCACCGCCCACAAAGGCACACGGTTCTACCTCCGGGCGGCAGAGAACATGCTCAAAGGCGCCCGGTGAACCCGGTGAACGGGTGGGAGTGTAGCACTGACTGGATGGATGCTACAAGAGGGCAGGAGGGGTACGGACGACCATTGTGATAGTAGTGGTCGTTGTGGACGACGACGACGACGACGACGACGACTGCCAGTACCACCACCACGACCACTACTGCTGCTGTTACTAGAATAATACTGGTAGAGTATGAATGTGTGGTCAAGCTGGTTTTAGCTCTAACATGCTCAAACCTTTCAGTTGTTCGGTCATTTGCACTGCTTCACTGTGCCTCACTCAGCTTAGGCGCTGGTTGAGTGGATTCACAGATGTGTAAATTTGGAGGTCAAGGGGAGGAAGGTGTTCAAACACATCCAGAAGACGCACCCAATGTCCCATTGCTTTTTTCGACTTTGGATGCAAGATGATGAAAGGTTGCCATATTATGTTTTAACAGCAGTCCTGACACAAAAACCGACACATCCTCTACAGCCTCTACGTCACATGCCTCGCATGTCCAAGCAAACCTGGATAAGCAGAAGACATGAAAGGAGTTTCTCCCATGTATGTGCTTCGAGGGCATCCCCATTTCTTCCGGTCTCGCTGGGATCCATTCGCCTGCAGAGGCATTGCAGTCACCAAGGATGGCGAGGCGGTTCGCACATGCTCGCGCGTGCGCGCGCGCGCGAAACGCCAGGCGAAGATGTTCAGTTTCACCAACCTGTCGCCCAAGAGATGGATGTTTGAACCCTCCATCCAGTACCACCAGCAAACAGTTGGGAATGGGTGCAAACCTGCAGCCGTGGTTCACCATGTAGCGAATGACCTCCCAGCTAGCTCAATGAAGGTGTCCTGGTTTTGACCCACTGCCAGTTAGTCGATGCCAACATGAGACCGCACTGCAAGCAGTTCAAGCCTTGGTCTCATGCAAAGGCACCGGTTTGCTGTAGAAAAATGTAGGATGCGCGAGAATGTGCCAGGTCGTCGCCCTCCGATGTTGGTGTTGTTTTTGTTCATTGACTTATCGCCTTCATCACATGACCTGCGAAGAATGGGAATGCCCCAGAACGCCTCCCCGTTCACCAAGCCGTGGGAATGAGACTGAATCTGTTTGTCTTCATGCCAGGCTTAAAGATGCCTAGCACTTCCAACGGGTGCCCAATGGAGACCTGCAAGTAGGGTAGGGTAGTCTATTGGACACCCATTGGATGATCCTGGTGTGATCGTCTTCGTCCCCAACCTGATCTAGCGACATTAGCGACATTCAATAGCTGCTATTGCAGAATGGCACCCTCTGGTTACATACCGGTCGTATATCGGTTAAACCCTTGCAAGTTGCGTTGTTTTCTCCAAGAAAGCACCTCGACGGATCCCACCAGTGCAGAAGGCAAATCAGAGTTGTTTCCTCGATTTTGGAACCTCCAGCACGCCAAGTAAGTGCCGGGAGGTCAAGAAAGCGGTCGAGAATCTGCGAGTCACGGCGCTGGGGAAAGCCATCGACATCGCCGTCGCGGTCGCGGTGCTTGGGTGGAAAAGCACAACATGGCCCCTCCCCCGACGAAATGAATCCATGGGTTATGTGGATGACCATGGCCCCCGAGTTCGGATGACCATAAAAACAATGTGAAGAACAAACAGGTGGTGGTGCCATCCACTTAGATGGATCCTTCCACCAAGTGTAGGGTGGCTGGAAGAGGTCCTGGCACTCCAAAAAAGCTGGTCAGCTAAAAGGAGATGTTGGGAGCTTGACCTTGTGGGTTTGGAGCAAGTCCTGATGATGACTGTGATTGAAGAAAACCCTCCAACCAGAATGGTTTTAGACACAATGTTTTACATCTCCAATGGCAGCTAATGGGAGCATCAACTGTCTACATGAGCAAGCCAAGAAATGGCCTTTCAGATCTTTCAGGTCACTTCACCTTCACCTTCGTCGCCAGCACCTCGCCAGCCTTCAGGTGTCGATTCAACAAAGTGGATTGGCCAAGATCACGCGTGTTCAGACGTCCTACGTCAGCATGGAGGCTGGCGGGTGGCCAGGCCGTTTGGTTTGCAACGCTCAACTACAGCAGGATGCATTTGGAGCACCTACTGGATCGTATGCCGCTGATGAATGTTTGTAGGAGTTGCAATTGTATGGATAAAGCGTTCTGGTTTGAACACGGACATCCCAACGATTTCCCAAACATCCCTGCTGCTCCAGAAACTCATGCGTGAAACCCACGTTCCCGGTGTGTTATTTTTGGGGGCGCATATGATTGTGCCTTTTGTTGGGGAGGGCTTCCTCACCCGGCGCAGCCGGCGCATTTCTCCAAGGCGTCGAACGTTCCGCAGATCCTCGTCGATGTGGCAAAGACCTGAGCGAGCGCGGCGAAGCCGCGACTCCCGCGGTGGATCGGAACATCGCCAAAGAGCATGAGGAAGATGTAAAAGAGGTGCTTCTTTTGGGGGGCGCGGAATCATTTGCAGGTAGTTTGTGGGGGAGGGGGGGCAGAGCTGCAAGGAAACATCAAACCCAGATGGGTTGAGGTATTGCGCATGGTCGGTGTGAAAGTTTATGTTGCTTTGTGTTTTTTAAAGATTTGCTCAGGGTTCTGTGGACGGAGAGGGCCTTTTGCACTCGAGGCCGAGGTGCTGCAGTCTTTAGAAAGTTGCTTTGCCAGGAGATTGTGTGAATTATATAGGTGTAGCTGGGACTGAAGGATCGTTCCAACTCATTCGAATCCAACCCTTAGAAAGGTGACAGTTTTAATCGTTTTAGCCATTTTTAGGGCACCCCGTCCAACTCATTCAGAGGTCCCTAGCAGCACGTTCCTGAGAATTGGCTTGTTTTTGGGATCCACGTACCACCTACCTCACCAGACACACACACACACACACACACACACGCGCTTTACACACACGCGCAAGCGCTTGGCACTCAGGCCGACAGGCTGGACGGGAGGTCGATGGAGGGAGTGGGTAGAGTGGGAAGATGAGCTTTTTGAGGGGGATGTTTGCGGGAGTAGAGGCCACCTGGAAAGGCTGTGGGTTGATGCAGAATGTGGTGCATGTTATGCATGTTACTGTGAGTTGATGCAGGTATTGACTTTTCTTCTTGGACCAGGGCAGCAAGACTTTTCTTCTTAAGTGAATGTGTTGTGGCTTGCACTTGGGCGTTGAGCACCACAACACATCATAGCACCAAATCTTCCAGCGGAGAGTGGTAGTGGCGTGTGCCTTAGGCTGTTGTTTGCGTGTCCTTTTGCGACGGGGGGTTGTTTTCGTGGGTCGCAAGCAAACCCCCTTTCTCAAACCAAAGCATGGTTCATCAATCTCCCTGCCTCCCGGTCAGCGAGGATGAAAAGAAATCCCAGACACTGCATGTATGCATTGCATATTTCTAATATATGTTCTATAGGGTCTAAAAAGATAAGCATTCCATACGACAGAATGTATGCCATAATATTTGCCTATTGGCGTGGTTTGGGGGGTCAATGTAGGCATATATGGCATACATGGAGTGTTTGGGAATGGGCACAGGTATCCACCATTGCAGGCTTGACAGTAGTTCTTCGGACGACCTTTCTGCGTATGGGTCGCTTTGCTTTCGGTCAGGAGCGCGATCAACGAGAACGCAGTCGTGGAAGGGAGGCAGGAGCATCCGGGTGGTAGTCCTGGTGAAACCTGTTGCACTGCCAAAAGTCACTCTTGACTCTTTGCAAAGCCAACATGGAGTCGGGGTCATTCCGACAAACATGGAATTGGACAATGGTCTCTCCAGGGGCGCTTTTGCCGTGATGGTTGAAGGGTCGATTCGTAGTCAATTGCCCCAAGTTCGTTGGTGGGAGCAAGTGGTGTTGGGTCAATCATTTGGGATTGGTCCAGCCATTATAGTGGATTGAGAGGACCAATGGCACAGACCCCAAGTTCGGTGGTTTATATGAACCCCCATGTAAAAGACATCGGTTTCGGTCTGTGCCATCTACTCTGAAACCACTGTATTCCATTTCTGACATTTCTGATGATCAGTGGCTCGGAGCCGAGCGGACCCGACCCAGGATCGACGGAGGAGGAGCTCGGAGGAGCACGGAAGAGTGCCGCGTTTCGGCCTACCCGGTAGAGCGTTTTAACGTGGACAACGGTGTCTTTAACCTGTTGTCCTGCCTTGAGAAAAATTGATAACGAGTCTTTGAGCGTCGTTAACATTTTTGGGGGGGATTGGTTTTCCCATGAAGCATGAACAGATGGCGAAAGGTTAACCGGTTAACCTTGATTTTCAATATGGCTCGGGGGTCAGAAGAGCGTCCACATCAATCCGACCTTCACGAGAATTATGTTGCCAAGAGGGCGCCCCACCCACCCACCCACCCAACCCCCGCGACTGACACTCACGATTGGGTCGTTTTGTCTGAGGTGGGGCACTAGCAATGAGGAACATCTGTAAATGAATATGGGCGTCCATGTAAACCATTTTGGGGATTGTGCTATCTACTCCGAAAACACTGTTCACGAAAGGTAGCCCTTTAGGGGATACCTTGAGTTTGTCTTGCGAAGCAAGTGTTGGGACGTCCGGGTCTAATAATTGATCGCTCAATTCAGACCCCCCCCCCCTCCCCCCCTCTAAAATCAATTCTCTCCTGGAGAACGTCTTCGTAAGCCTCTCATGATTTCAGGATAGTTGAAACCCTCTTGAACATTCAGAAAGAGTGAATATGAAATTCTAATCACGAAAGGTGTTCCCCGAGGGGATACATACCTAGAGTTTGTTTTGTGAAGCACGTCAATTCTCTCCTGGGGAGCGTCTTCGTGAGCCTCTTATGGTTTCAGGATAGTTCAAATCCTATGATGTTCCGATTCAATGCTCACCGATGATCTGAGCCATGGGGCACGTTTGTTTTCCTAAGAATTTTTTTGAACATTTCGAGAGCACATGTTTGAACATATAAAGCATATGAACATACATTTACGAAAGGTCGCCTCCGAGGGGATAAATCACCATGTCGAACATTGCATTTTTCTTCCCGCCTCTCGCGTTCTCTTCTCTTCCCGCTGTCCTACCTTTCGTGTCTCCCTCCTCTCAAGTTTCTAATCTGGAAGTCTTAGATAGTCTTAGTCTTCTTGTGCGTCAAGCTCAGCACGGCGCCGCAGGACGTACGTGATAGAAGACGTTGAGGCACTGGACGAATCCTTGATTCCTGATCTCGCACTTGAATCAATGCCAAGTGCCAGAGTCGCCAGGCAAAATACAATTGCAAAAGAAAAGCAAAAACAATTGAATATAGATTATATATATATATTAGGACTGCGCTCAAAAAGCCCTACGCAAAAGATATAGATAAACGTAAACTTTAAGGTTGGAGATGTGTTTTTAGGTCTTCGTTTAGAATTAGAAGCGGGCCCCCAGCAGACTACGGTGATACAGCAAGGCAGCGCTAGGTTTCTTCATAACAGGATAAGCAAGCAGGAAAAAGAAAAAATAAGCAGAGAGCAGGAAAAAGGAAGAAGCAAGACAATAAAAATATTAACAAACAAGAAGAAAAAGAATGCACAACAAGAAGAAGACAAGCAAGCAGGAAAAACATAAATCTGACAGGATAGCGCTAGGCTGGCACTAGCACCGCGCTAGACGACGGTCCATTTCTTGACCATCTACTCATCTGACACCAAAATATGTTGAGTCAACTCTTAGTGAAAATTTATCAGAACTCAAAAATTGGAAATAGCTGTAGAAATCTAGCAACTTAACAGACCCCTGAAAGAAAAGGTGTGATAATTAATATAAAACAAAATATAGTATATTAATTTCTAAAATAGGTTTCTTTAAATAATATATTTATCGTAGATCTATGTAAATTCATGTTTAAATCTGTTTGGATATCGAATTATCTCTTTTAAAAATATATATATATTAAAAATATATAGAGGCGAAATTTTGGAGGTTGTAATGGATGAGATTATTGAGTGGTTGATGATGAAAAAATATAGTTATTTTTATTTATGTTATTTTTGTGATACGATGAGATTTTATCGAAACCGATGTATTGTAATTTCGTATAATTGGGAATATAATAATTTTAATATTTATGTTAATTTAAAATATTTAATTAAAATTTAAATTCGTTGATTGATTTTATTTGAATATTAATATAAAATAAATGTTAAATCGAAAAAACATATGTTTAAATTGGGTATCTTGAATAATTAATATATAAATATAGTGGTTGGTATTTTTAATTGATTTAATGTTCGGGATCGTATAGATTTATATTTATATATGATTTCGTAGAGGATTGAGAAAGATTTGGTAAATAATTTAAAGTGCGAATTGGATTAATTGAAATTGTAATGCGCCGATTAAATTCTTTCTTTTTTTGTAGTTCCGATAGGTTTATGATTTTTATGTAAGTGTTTTAAAAATTTTGAAGCGAAATATTTTATTAAAATGCGATATAATATGTTTGAAATGGTGATATTTGATTGTGACGTTAGAAGCGCTGGATGATGTTGATGATTAAAAGATATTTTTTATATATAATATTTATATTTCTATTATATATTTATATTGGCATGATTTGTTATTATGAAGGAAATAATATTAATAATTTTGCGTATATATATAGATTTTATGTATTCTTGGAATTCTTTGTGCCTAAATAAGAATAAATAAATATAATATTTATATTATATATTTTAATGAAATCAATAAGAAATTTAATAATAAATGATTATTCTAAATCAAATGTTTCATTTATAAAGCTTTAAAATACACATTTGAAGGATATTTTAAATTTTAATTGTCATGTTAAATAAGGAGATATTTGTAAGGATTTGTGGCGTAAGCAAAATATTGGTGGTCGTAAGCCCGCATAAGCAATTTTAGCTAATGTTGTTGGCATAAGATATTTTTCGTGATTTCTGAAATGATAATTTTGGACCAAGAAATTTTTATATTCTAAGTTTACAACCTAATATACATCTATGGAATCATTGTTAGATTGCTGGATTTTTGTTTCCTCAAGTGGCGGTAAGCTCCATGCTGTAGGTTGAATATGATTCTGATCAGTCTGCAAGATTGAATTGCATGGAAAATGAAATCATGATAAAGTCCGCAATGAAAAGGATTGTTCACCAAGACAAGGAATTTTAATAATTGCATTGTACTATCGGATGAAAACAGCAATACTGCAATGTGCCCATAGTGTCTTACCTTTTTCAAGACCTTCACCTCCAATGTTTTTTTCCGGATTGGAAGCCAAAATCCGCGTAAGCGGCGCGTAAGCCAAAGACAATCTCGGACATTTTGGAACAACATTGCCCTTCTCTGGATGAAGCAAGGCTTTCTTTAGATGTCAATCTGTCCTTCCTGGCCTGTCCGCTATCAGTGGTGCCCAGACAGACCTCATGCCCGCGCGCTCAGCAGAGGTGCTGCCAAGAAGCGTCGTTAACTTCGTCATCTGCGAGCTTCTTCTGTTGTTGCGTCTTCATCGGTTTCATCTTCTTTGTCCACGTCATCATCTTCTATTGTTTGATGTTGCCTAGGTTCCTGCAGGTAAGAGTTGCCGTGCGTACTAAAAATGTCCAGTTGCTTGGGCTGTGGCCGGGTACTAAAAATGTCCAGCGTAAGGTCTGCGTAAGCCGGTTTATTCCGCGTAAACAAAACCGTGCGCGCGTAAGCAAAACGTAAGACGCGGCGTAAGCGTTGCCTTGTTTGGTGCCGGGATATAAGACGTTTAAAACACAGCTCATCTACATTCCATGAATTATGCTCTCCAAAATTATCAAAACAATTCGAAATACAAAATTCCACAAGGATTACGTGTTCAAAAGACTAAATGCAAAACCTCACATTTATTGTTACATTTGATAATTGAATTGTATTGATTGACGGAAAGGGAAATTGACGTGCTAGATCCGTATAGATGTTATTTTATTATACCTCTTATATATCTATATAAATTTAAAATACGAATGAGATTTCAACGTTGTGGATTGCTGCATATTTCCACAGATTATCGAATGATTGATGGAAAGGTAATTTTAAAAAAAATATATATATCTGGTAATTGAATTGTAGCTACCCTGGGTACGTGGATTGCGGCACGTTTGTTGTGGTGGCGGCTGATGGAAAGGAAAATAAATCCCTTATAACTGCCCTGGGTCCGCGCGCGCGCGCCTTGCAGGCTCCTGCTCTGCCCTAGACTTAGGCACGCGTGCGCGGACCCAAGGTGGCAGACCTAGGATGATTATTGTTGCATTTTTATTATTTCTCTTCGTAATGTGTTCGTGGACAAAAAATGTTGATTTTCGTTTTGTAATTTCTCAAATTCTTTTTGAAAATATATTAATCATTAGAATATATTAATAATCATATTTTGATAACATAATAATTAATATAATCTTTGATTTTGGGATATTGGTTGGATTCAGGATGATATAATATAGATATAAATCTGGATAATTTTTGACGTGGTAGCCTAAATGCCGAATATTATAATGACGATAATTGAACCACGAATTTATTTAAATTATTCACACAATTATTTTATAAATGCCTTGATTTCCGATCCGAATTATATCAATTTAAGTTAAATAAAGGCAATTTTGCCCGTAATGAATTGAAACAATATTAATTGGGGGAATTCCCGAATGGATACGATATCCAAAATATAATATTCAATAAATGGTTTCATTGTTTTCGTTCCCCGCCTTTCAAATATATAAATTGAAAATATATTCATTGTTCTCGATATAAATTATTAATTTAATTATTTTTATTTATTTTTTTTTCAAATTGCATTAATATATATATAATTTCAATAATAATATTTTATAACAATTATCTGTTTATAAATATATTTATTATATCAAATTATATCAATTTCGTATTATATATATAAATCATTCTTCTATATCGATTGTACATTATTGTATTTTATAGATATCCAATATATATATATATATTATTCAAATATGAATATAAATATTTAAATTATATATATATTAGAATTAAATGAATTTATTTAAATCATTTATATTTAATATATATATATTCTTTAAATATAAATATGTTATATTTTATTGTTTAATTAATATATATTATTTCAATATAAATATCAATATATATATTCAAAATTGATATATTCAAAAGAAAATGAAAATATATATATGAATTGTGCTAAAACCTATTGGAAATGGTGTTGTAATCCTAATATCCTTTCATGATAGGCTATCGCGGTCCTTTCGCGACCACAATCTTACCTTTCGCGGGCATACATTATTTGATATTGGAAATCAAAATATATCCTGCATTAACTACAAAATATCCTTTCATATATTCCTTTATAGCTGCCCTGGGTCCGCGCGCGCGCGCCTTGCTGGCTCCTGCCTGCCCTAGACTTAGGCACGCGTACGCGGACCCAAGGTGGCAGACCTAGGATGATTATTGTTGCATTTTTATTATTTCTCTTCGTAATGTAATCGTGGACAAATAATGTTGGCTTTCGTTTTGCAATTTCTCAAATTCTTTTTGAAAATGTATTAATCATTAAAATATGTTTAATAATCATATTTTGATAATATAGTAATTAATATAATCTTTGATTTTGGGATATTGGTTGGATTCAGGATGATATAATATAGATACGAATCTGGATAATTTTTGACGTGGAAGCCCGAATTTTATAATGACGATAATTAAACCACGAATTTATTTAAATTATTCATGCAATTATTTAAATAAATGGTTTGGTTTTCGATCCGAAATATTAATCTAAATTAAATAAAGGGAATTTTGCCCGTAATAAATTGACACAATATTAATTGAGGAAATTCCCGAATAGATACGATATCCAAAATATAATCTTTAATAAATGGCTTCATTATTTTTGTTCCCCGCCTTTCAATATATAAATTAAAAATATATTCATTATTCTCGATATAAATCATTAATTATTATGTCATTAATATTAAAAAATATTTGGTTTTTAAATTGCATTAATATATATAATTTCAATAATAATATTTTATAACAATTATTAATATTAGAAATAAAAATAAATCCTATATTAATTATAAAATATCCTTTCGTATATTCCTTTCGTATTTTTTTTTAAATATATTTAAATATTATTCAATTACATATAATATATTATATAAATATATTAATTATCAAATTAATATATATATTTATCATTTCATATCATTAATATATTATATCTATATTAAAATATAATCTTTTCAATATATTATATTATAATATATAATAAATATATATATATATAATTTATCAATATTCGATTAAAAATATATATTCAAAAATTAATTCATATAAAATCCCAAATTAGTATAATCATATTAATTATCCTTAAACAAAAATATTACAAAAGAAGAGCTAATTTAAATAATATATATATAATATATCCTTAATATCAAAAAATTATCAAAATAATCCATAATATACATATAAATAAATAATTAGTTTAAAAAAATATTTTTTTAGTAATTATAGTTATATATTTATTTTGTTCGGATCAATAACCAAATGTCCAGTTGCAACGTACTACGGAGCCAAATTCCAGCCAAGATTCGTCTCGTAAACACAAGGGTCCAATGCAATGATGAGAATATAAAATGCTATATTAATAAATCAATTCATGGTGTTCTTGGCCAGAAGCAGTTCTTGACATTCTATCAGCAGAACGTTCTGCCACCAAAACTTTCGGTTCTTTTGCTCATAGCTCTTGTAGCTACTAGCTGCTCCTGTGGCTAAGGAAAATAGCAAAGTTATGTGTCAAGGATCTAGTCTCCTTTCTCAATTTTGTCCCAGGATTGGGTCGAACCTGGGCTCGCCCGCAGGTGGCACAGGGCCTGTACTCAGGCCACGATAGGGTGATGGGTATTGTGAAAATTGTGTGACTTCGTCGCTGAAAAGTGTGCGGAGACTGGATTAAGCAGGCTCCGAACTCATGGGTGGTGCTTGGATGTGCTTGGTGAATGCGGAATGCTTAGCCTGGAAATCTCTAGCCAGGGTTGTGCCACAGTCATGCACTCTGAGGCCTTCACATGCATCCGAATCACGTTGCAGTTCAGCCTTCAGCTCCTACAATTCAGCCATCACCCAATATAGACCCATCTTGAGCTCTTCACCATCACCATTGAATCGCACCCAAAGCCTCAATGTTGCTGTAGGGACCCAGAATTCTCTCCTACGAACGTACGCCCTGGCTCATACGATCGAATCGGCGAAACGTGCCGCCGGCAAGCCACTCCTGTCGCATCTGCAGCAACTTATGCTGCCATTCCATCCTTGCAGCAGGAAGAAAAATGTTTGAGAACAATGCGTCAAGCGGAGGGATGATCATAAACGACCTAGAGTCTATAGAGTCTATTATGATTCCTTATCTACGGCTCTGTATGCTGGAGGGCTGGGATTCGTTTTGCCCCTCCCGCATCGTCTCTGGCCGTTTTGCCCCGCAGATATGGCGGGTTCATGGCACTGGGGACGCCTTCTCTTTGAACAGAAACACCGGCAAGGTCAATGCTACCGGGGGCTACCGGGGCTCCTATGAGTCTATGAGTTCCTCGTTTTGACTCACAGACATATGGTCAATTCAGCGTCAAGAGCTCAAAGCACCTCCCTCATCTGACGCGGAAAGGCGGCGAAACCCAACGCCGTCGAACGCGGGCGTCGGCGTCGGCGTCGGCGTCGGCCGTTCGTCGCGGCCGGCGGCGTCGCGTTTGCTTTGGAACGCCATGGAGCTGGAATTCAGCGACCAGCTGCTGCTTCTCAATCTTGAACTTCTCCTTTTAACAGCTTCTGACGCTAACATCTTGAACCGTTTGGTTTGGCAAGCCAAACTTCCTAGCCGGGCCTGATCCTAACACCCCTGGAGTCCAGCAGCATCAAACAAAGCTAGCTCTCTGAAAATAGTGCGCGTCAAGCTCAGCACGGATAACAACACTTCATGTTGTCTTGGTGTCAGGGTGACCGTGACGCTTTTTAAAGGCACCAACAACAGTGCATCTACAAATCCGCGCACAAATCCACAAATCCGCGCAAAAGTCCGCACTCCACACCAATCTTCTCCTCCATCTCGATGCGCAACTTTTCCATCGGGTCCTGCACGTGTGGCCTTAGAAGAAGGTCTCCCTGCAAGCCCTCATGGATGGACCATCAAGCACCGCATTCAGACATGCTGAGACATCCCACATGTTACAACTGCAAGTGCTGAGAGTTGGTCCATCAATGCTAGTAGATCTCTTCTAGAGAAAGACTCGTACAGAAACTTGGACTGCATTGATTTGATAGACTTGAACATCCCCGATGAAAAGCAAGCGATCCTATTATATACAGGTTTGGTACTCATAAGGGCTGACATCCCGCCAAGGAAGAGTTTTTGGATTCGCCACGAAGACTGAGAAGCTAGGACAGGGCACGCTGCAAAGTTCGAACCGTGCCCACGTGTGTGTCTGTGTGTGTTACAGCGTTGCAAACATGCACTGTCTAGAAGGTGGTCATCTACCAGGGCCAACTGGAAGTCCGAAGGGCAGCCGAATCGCAGCAGCTGAAATCACAGCAGTGCCACCAAGCGGCTGAATTGCCTCGGAACAGGAACTGCCGGGCGGCGCCGTGCTGGCATCGTCACTGTCGTCGGAGGCAAAGAGATCAACATCACCATAGCAGGCTGCGGCTTTCTCCTGGCCAAAGGTTGACCCCCCCCAACAGATATGGAAGTGGACAACCCCGTCTATCAGGAAACTAGTCTTTCAGGGCACCATTGTCCACTCCCACGATTGCATGGGTTCTGTGGGGTCGGAAAATCGCAAACTAAGCGTCTCGGAATCCAAGAAATCGAGCTGCAGCAAAAAGGATCTGGTCGTCTTGGCGGCCCCAGCTCGGGGAGCATTGACCAAAACGGAAGTAACTTTCTTCAAACCATATGGCATATTTCTTGGGTATATACATATATATCCAAATATCACTCCGAATATCCTATTCAGACCCAGTGGTTGATGATGGTTAGGTCGCAGGCCATTCTCTAACAAGGGTGATGTTCTTGTGAAACCCGATTGCTACAGGCTCACTGGGACAGATCCAATATTTATGACCCACAACTTCCAACTCACAGAAGCATACCAACAAGCCACAGGGGGCGAGCAGCTCATTCGTCCACGCTCGGAAACGGAGCATCTAACCGTTGGTGTCCAGGGGCGAGTCTGTATACACCACCGAGATCCAGCGTCCCTGCTTAAAAGGACTCAAGTCACATTCCAAGTCTTCCAAGGTCGCATCTCCTTCCAGATATCTGGACACGTCGAGCTTTCGCTCTGGTGATGCTATGTACTGCTGCATAAATTTCAATGTAAACTGGCCGCGTTCAAACTAGAGAGCCTGCATGTGGGCCCCAAACATTGTCAAATTGCTCTTTTGAACTTGGCCGTGACCGGATAGCGCCATGCCACGCACAGGGATTCAGGAAGGCTGCTCCATTGTCTGATACACATCTGGTTCACGAAGCGCATTGAACCCAACGCTTCAAGTGGAACACTAAATGTCAACATACAAATGGATATATATATATATTGTATTTTACAGGATCAGCTCTAATAGTACTAACTACCTAGCTAACCCTGCTAGCCCGGTAAGCGCTACCTTTTGCTCTACCTTGAGCCAACGCTACGGGGTCCATGGGGATGAGGTGAATTTCAACACCCCCCTTTACAAGGAGCTACCCGTAGGGAAAATCTCGGGGAGGATCAAATTCTAGCGACGAAGGAATCATATTAGAAATCCCTCATCAAGCTCGTGCATGCACTATACAAGGAGAACGTAGCTACCCTAATGTACAGTTTTGCCTCACTCGGCATGTGGTTAAACATGCTAGGCCCAGGTTAGTGTTAAGCATTGATTAAAAGTTCACTCTCCGACTATGGCAATCCTGTTATGGATGCATTGGGAAGTGAGACAATGAAGTGAAACATCATCTCACAGCGCGTCAGAAGGTGATCTTTATCTCAACACTCATAAACTGCGAGGCATACCATTTATGGTAGCTATTCAACATCTGCTTAAAGAAATTGTATTCCAAAACGCTCCGTCTCGTCATGCCATCCCTGCCTCAACCACTCCCACAATTCCATGTGATTGGGCCAATAGTTCTCGCCCCATGGGTCATCGCGTTGCCATTGTACTCCAGGAAAATCAAAGGGTTCCAATGGTCGATCAATAGTTCCACGAATGCTGGAAGTCGGCGGCCCAGTTAAGGGTGCATTATGTGGCGATGATGCCGAAGCGGATGAAGTTCCGGGTGGCAATGGCGGCGGTGGCACGTTTTGTACATTCCATTGCTGTGGAGCATAAGGTCCTCCTCGAACACTCACCTGCTGCTTATCCTTGCCCTTTCCTTTTACGGAAGGTTGCAACCGACTGTAAAGGTCTGTAAGCGGCGGCGGCTTCGGCGTGAGATTGAAATCTGTCGGCCTTGTATGTACCGGAATGCCACTGGCTGTATTGGGCGGCACTTTCGGTGGAGGAACCTTTGGAGGAGGCACCTTTGGTGGTGGGACCTTCGGAGGTGAAGGTTTGGCTGGACGTGGCTTGGAGATTGGTGAAAGGCCAGTTGCAGGTGGGTTGTTGGGTGCAGTTAACGGTGGCGGTGAAGTTGGGGGACCCAAGAGGTTCTTGGGGATGTTGCCACGTTTAGGTGGAAGGACACGGCTCTGGGAAATTGCTCGGGCGACAGAACCACGCGGCGTCCCTTTTGCGGGAGCGGCTGAGCCTGCTGCCGAAGAACTGCCTTGGCCCTTGCCCTTTCCAGAAACATCTCTCCGTTCACCGACATCCTGTTTAGAGGAGTCACCCTTTCCTGAAACTTGTCCTTGAGCAGGAGGTGCATTCATACGGAATACCGACGAGGTATGCGTCCCTGTTACGGGAGCTGGCGGCTGAGGCACGCCTGGCGGTGGAGTCCGGTTGTCAACCCAAGTTGCAATGCGACCAGATTGATCCCGGTCTTCTTTCCTCCTCCACTGCAGCCTCGGTCGTTTGTCTGCATCTCCAATAGTCTCCATGTACATCTGCGATCGCTTCCGCGTCAACGGGGGCCTTGTTACAGGTCCTTGAGGAGATGGTGCTCCACGCTGCCCAAACTCAAGCAAGATCTCTTCAAGCCGTCGAATCTCGTCAGACGACATGTCCTGGCCACAATCGGCAAACTTGGGATAAGGCGTGGCCATGCGCTGTTCGATGTTCATGAAGCCCATCTGTGAAACTGGCTGTCCACGATCGCGTCCCTGCACACTTGCAGACTGTTGCGCGTTCCTCTGATATTGAATGTTTGCATAATTTTCATTCTGCTCTGCAAACTCACTCAAAATCTTGTAAATGCCTGTCGTGTCTCCACGAGGAATACGAATTGAATGAATATCGCCATAGACGTCCGTCGTGGGGATAAAGCCCTGGATCTTGATCTCATCTCGGCTATCGCCAATTACGGCGGCGTATTGTCGGAGTGACATAAACTCTCGGCGATAACTGATCAGAAAGTTCTCGTCGACGCCTTGCTTGAAACAGGTATGTAGGTTGTCAACACCGCATCGAATATACGCGAGCTTGGCGAGGTCAACCCTGTCCAGTCGATCCAAATCACTGACAACCGACTTCCCTTTTGATCTCTGCTTCGCTGATCTCGTGGGTGCCGGTAATTGCAGTGACGCAAACAAGTCTTCTTGCGCTGCATCAAACGCTGTGCATCCTTCTCCGGTTAAGGAGGTAGCGAAGACGTCGTCGCGGTTGAATCGATCGAATACATTCTCATACCCTGATTTCAATGCTTTGCGAAGGCGGCCGCGAGCTGCAAGAATAATCTGACTGTCAACTGACGGGCTACCACGAGCTGGAGGTCGTCCAGACTGTAGGTCCTGCGCGGCAATGCTGTCAAGCATGCTTGTTGCGGTCATGTTCTTGGGCACGCCCCCCTGCTCTTGTAGCACCTTTGCACGCCTCATCTGAAGTCGCATAAACTTTGAGATCGGTCCATCTGTTGTATTGCTCTGAAATACTACTCCGCATCGATGACAAGATGCCATTCCTGCTAAGGAAAGTGTCGTACATTTATCGCAGCTGAAAGTTCGAAGATGTAGAAAATATCCACTCTCGATCTGTGGTACAGCTGTATTGCGATTTGCCTCCATCTCTTCCTTCTTTGCGGCACTGCTGCTAGCTGTGCGTTCTTCGGGAGTGGCGTCGCTTGTACCTTCCAAAATGGTGCGTACTTCCGACACTTTTCCCGGGACCAATGTCACATCATCTTGCGGAACACCGACCTCAATGTTCGAAGGATCCAATGCCTGCGGCCTCGAATAGAAAACTTCTGGCTCCGCATTTGCGCGGGCTCGAGTTGCAAATAGAATACACGTATTCGGGACGTGATGGCTGGTAATCACCGCGCCAGAATTTGTGAGGAAAAGATCAACTCCTGCTTCAATCACATCCGGTGTTGAAAAACAAATCTCCACTGGTCGGTCAGCACGAACACCAGATATCGCCTTCTGGTTTCCCAGAGGTTGTGTTGAAAAGAAGGAATTGCCTTTGCTTTTCGGTCCACCGGCTCCACCGCCGGGAATGAGCCCGCTCGCAATAATGGATCGCGCAGCACCTTCATGCGTTCGGTGGTAAAGCCGAGGTGGTATATCGCAGTTCCCGTGCGCTGTCAAACGAGCATTGTACCTGTGTACATGGTCAGGACGGCAGTAGATTAGTACTGCTAGCACTTCATTTGATCGCGTCTCGAGAACGTCGTCAGTGTGGCCTTGTCCACATCGGATCTTGACGGGGGCGGCGAAAAGTTCGAGCTGCTCGTTCACACGAGAGTCGTACACGCATTGAAATTCGAAACGATCTTTGTGGTCATAAATAGCCATCGAAATCAACTCAAAAACATTCATAGAACCAGCGTAATCAGGGAATTTGGCCTTCGCCAAATCTAGTAGTTTGTAAATTGGCAAATAACACGCCGGATCATAAATACTGACGTCTGGGACGTGTCCACGAAGAAGACCAGAAATACCGCGACGAACATGAGGTGGCCAGGAGCAGCACCACTCCCAAGGCCCATGATGATAATCCTCATATACATAATAGTACCTATGGCCAGTAACGTGGTACAGCACGTACTGCTTGGCGTCGCGGCCCAGCTCATCCTCGAGGAGTTGGATGTTGCCATTCCCGATGGCCTTGAGTAGGTGATCCGGGTAAGGATACCTTCCGAGAACCTCTTCAACCTCGACCTGCATATTTTTGTACTCGGGGTTAGGCTTCGTCTCGCGAACGAGAACGCCCTTCCCTTTTCCAGAAAATTTCAAGTCGGGGTTGTCGTTGTTCTCAGGTTCAAGAAAGCTCCCCGTTACGGGAGCGGCCGAAGGGGTGACTTGTCCCTGCCCTTTGCCTCGCAATCGCGGCAATGGTGGTCTCGGGTCAGATGAAGACGCTTGACCCTCTGCGGGTTGGTCCGCGTCCGTAGGGATCATAGGAACATCTCCGGTTGCACCTTCTTCAACAGTCGTTTCATCATCAGCCAAAACATCAAGAACCTCGGCCTCGATCTTCGCCATCTGTGGATCAGGTTCTGGTGCTGTCGGCAAGGCATTTACGCCTGCGATACCAGTATCAGGTCCAGGTACTTCGTCGGTTGCGCCTG